AAGAACATCTTCGCTAGTATGCTTCAGACCGAGACCCCGTAAGTTAAATCCTAGCCTTTTATATATAATTACCAATACTCATACCTTTTTAAGATACTATCAGCCCACACCGGATGCTACCAAGCCTTTCCCCGTAGTCGAAGCTCTTAGCGACCCCGACTTTGCGGCAACATGCAATGGTGTTGAAGGAAACTGCGCAAATGCATGGGGTCTGCGAATCGTTGACTCTTCGGATATCTTCATCTACGGTGCCGGCCACTACTCGTTCTTCAACAACTATAGCACTGGTAAGTCCAGATCCAACTTTGCTATTCTACTTAACGGCGAGAAGAATCCGGATATTAACTTCTTACTTTTCTAGATTGCTCCACCGTAGAGGCAGGCGAAAACTGCCAGTCGCGAATCGTCTCGCTCGAAGGCTCGACCAGCAACGTTAACATCTACGCCCTCAACACAATCGGCTCTCTTAGCATGATCGACCGTGACGGAAAGAGCTTAGCCAAGTGGGAAGACAATGTGAACGTGTTCCCGGCGAATATCATGCTGTTCCGGACCGGCTAGGAGCCGAGTCGATGTGAACAACCATCTCGCGCTACAAGCGCTTCGCCAGGGAGCGAAATGGTTCTATTCCCACACGGACACCCAGGTTATGCCAGATGCAAGTTGGTATCTGCAGGATATATCATAGGTTGCGTGGGCTGGTTTGCATATGTTTCGTTGTATATCCTTTTGAATTTTTGATGAAATTAAAGTATCTTCATGTATATAGTAGGTGAATTTATGAAAGTTGGATTTTAAATTTAGCATTTTGGGAGGGCTTGCTGGGAATAAACGTTTTGAGCCATCATCATCATCATCATCATCCATCTAGGGAATATCCAACATCGCCGCTTTCGCTTCCTAACTTGACTAGTCGTGCTCGCATTCCCTCTGCCCTCTCCTTTTGCTTTTCGTCTAGATTGCTAAAGTCACATTTATCTACCCACTGTAGCATCTATGGTTAGTACCTTACTCTTTACTGATTTGAAATTTCATAAAGGCAAAAGGGGTAGTCGTAAAAAAGAAAAAAAAAAAAAAAGTCACTCACGCTACCGACAGCATGCTGCAACACATTTCTAGCCCTCAATTTCCCACCAGCAACATGTCCAACAGACCCATGCAGACTCAAGCGCTCGCGACTGCCATCATAGCGGCCTCGATGCAGTATATTATTATTATAAAACACGACATCTCCCGCATCAAGCCTCACGACCAACTGCCCCCGCATATCCGGTTCAAAAGGGCCCACAGCACGCTCCAGCTCGGTCCTAGGCCGTGCATGCGATCCAGGCACCACGACCAAACTCTCATCGCCATCGCACAGCGCCAAATTCCACTGGGCATGCCAAGCGGGCTCGCTCAAGCGCACGGTCTCCTCCCGGGCACTAGCCTCGGCGGGGATGTCGTCGCGGTGCCAGCGCAGCTCGTAATCCGTGCCGTCGGAGGGCCGCACGAGCAGATTGTACAGCTCCATGACGAGCTCGTCGTCTGAGCACGGGCCCAGCAGTTCCTTGGCCACGTCTAGCACCTCGTCGCCAAAGTAGCTCGCGGTGAAGGTTGGTGCGTCGGGTAGTGCTGGGTTCAGCAGGTGCTGGACCCCCCAGATCCCAACCCCGGGACTCCATGTCCACGGAGGGAACTGCTTCCCGACTGTGCGCACGTGTGGCCAGGACCCCTTGAGCGCGAGATCCCTCGTGCGTTCTGCGGCGGCGCGCTGCTGCGAGACTTGTTCTGCGCTGAGGATCGATCTCAGGACCACAAAGCCGTCCTTGTCCAGCTGAGAGCGTAGCGTCGAGGTGGGCATCGTGAGCGGCTGCCAATGTATGGAAGTGCACGGACCGAGGCCCTCGTGCTCTTAGATGCCTAGGTAGGTACCTGGTAGGTAATTTACTTGGCTCTGCGCTGGCGCGCTGGCAGCTCCAAGTGTGACCTTCTAGATATACTTGCGTAACGTCGCCTTGAGTAACAGTCCCTTAGGCTGAGCCTTGAATGGATAACCTGTATGTTCTTGTGGCAGCGGCTTTGGAGACTTGGCTGTAGCTGCTTTAGGTAGGTTTAATGGTCCGGCCCGCGATAGAACCGAGTATATACCCCTTTATAATTAGCTCCTAGAATAAGGCTACGTGATCGACGAGTTGGAGTAAAAACGCTGATCTTTTCCCCGGAAGAATGGATGGTCTGGTGATAAGTAAGCCGGTAAGGCAGGGTTGGGATAACGGTGGTGGAGATGATCTCATTGTATTGCGGGGTTGAATCGTCAAAGAAGCCTTCGCCTCCACTATGATACAACGTTGCGCTCCGTCGGTATGATTTCGAGTTTCCCTAGCTTGGGGTAGCTACGTGGAGAATAGAACGAACGTAAACGGCGACGGTGTATCTTGACTACAGTCTATCATTCTAGAGTGAAGACATCAAGTCATACAATATTAGAATAGATATCTAACCTTGGTAGTTATCTAGTAGGTATCTTAACTTAGGAATGTCGAATTGGCTATGTTAGATTGGAAGTCGAACCGAGTATATTTACCGCATCAACACAAAAACTTTTCGTTAAACCAAGAATAAAGTGAGCCTCCTGCGCCGTCGCTCGTGAAATGAAAAAAGGAGTTAGGCCTCCATCCGTCAACATATTCCATATACCGCCAGGTATAAACACACCAAGACATATCCCTACATACCCAGTCCCGAGTCCTTCATGTTTTGCGCCCGTGTTTCGCCCTTGACATAGTCACTCAAACGCATTTCGTTCGACTCATCGCCATGCCCATCCATAAACTGTCCCCTTGTCTGACTCGGTGAATAGGCAGGTAGCGACGGGATTCCTAGTTGGACTCTATACCGATACCCATCTGTTACCATAGCCTCGGCTGCGAGATCCGAACCACCCGCGGACGTGTCCGGCACGTCTTGAGATGCCATATGGAATGTTCCATGCTGGCGTATAACCGGTGAAATGGGAGAAACCTGAGATATCCGGGAAGCGAAGGAAACAGGCGAGACAGGAAGTGGATGTGTCCTCCTTCGCTCGTTAAACACGCGATCCTCATGTAGTTCACCTGAAGACCCGAAGTTGTGAGTTTGTATTGTCGGGTTAGCTCTAACGGCCGGCGTGTAGACCCCTTCACTAGATGGCGCCGCATTATCTAGGCCTCTCTCGGGACCAGGGCTCTGAATATTGGATCTCATGTGATCAAGTTGATATATATCATCTACAGACGTAAATAGGTGATCTTTTTGGTTATGATTCCACCGCTGCTCGAAGATCCGTAAGACTCCCAATGTTGTCGTCAGCATGTAAGTAAATCTGTCTTTATTAGTAGATGGATGAATACATGAGGGGGTCGTGAGTCTCGTACATTAGTGCGGCAGTAATAAAATAGAAGCTTTGTTCTAGAGAACAGTATCTATCAAGTAGTCCTTTTATATTATCCCCGTTGCCAAATCTTATTGTATCATATCCTGGGGGTGGGTTGTTGGGGGCGTCGTCCTTTTCCTTATCGTCTCGAGTTAACCCATAGCAATCCGTTGGAAGTCCTGTGCGAGAGAGCACTGTTATAATAGCGATCATGAGTCCATTGAATATCACGTCGCCAGCGATAAATATGGTAGACAATATCGTGCTAGATCTTCTCTGTCGGCTACCAGAGTGCTGCATCAATAGTACAATACCGGAGTAGATAAGTGCGACACAAATCTAAGTAAGCACGGGTAAGTTCCTCGATGTGCGAAAGCAAATGGTTAAGGAGGCAAATACGAACCATCATCTCTAGACAAAACATGCTTGTCGCAAGACCGAGCCGGTTACGGTGGATGTATACAAGAAGAAACCCGTTCATTACAGCAGTTATGAGAGTACCCGACACCTGTAACAGCCTGGCAAAGAGAAGCCATTTTGATACAGTCCATCTCGGTGCCCACTTTGACGACAGCCATTCCATAGTAGTTTTATGATAAGGGCTATTGTCGACAGGTATTCAGTCGGCACGGATCCGACAATGTCAGTACTCCTCTGAAGGAACGGAATATTTGAATCCAAATTTCTAAATTATGTTTCAAGACGTGGGAAGATGTATCCAGATATGGAGGTCTGATATTTTGGTTCGATTATTGTCGGTAATCGGAATGAGGCTATGCCTTACTGTAACTGCAACTCGCACGGTACCTAGGAGGTATGCAGCCCAGCCAATATTTCCATACTTAGCTGATCGTCACTAGACGTTAGTTATTTCCGGAATAGCTTGCTATTAACTTTACTCTTCTAGACTATATCTCAATAACTCTTTTGAGGCTATTCGACGTAATACTTGGCGATATAGCAACTGCATGTAGTAATCATGCCGAAATCTCGTAGTTTTTTGACACCATTTTTAATCACATTGAAATGCGTAGCTAATAAAGGCGATACGAAAAACCTGGGGCCGACATGAAAGCTGACTGAAAACCAACACCAGAAGAGCTAAATGTGGTAGGCCTACAGCCGAAAACAATCAACACTTGCATGCACCGCCTTGTTGATCCACCCAACGCTACCCAAGAGAGGCGGAATAAGAACAAGGCACCCAGACATGAAGAATGAAAAGCGCCGAGATAAAAAGTGCTTGTTAGACATAATTGGCGTTAAGCCTCTTCGTAGTATCTTTTATCCAATTGAAGTAGGCAACATCACAGCCCTAATATAAGTTCTACACCCACCACAGAAGGGTCTGCAATGCTGCGCGCTCTTTGGCCTTGGGTCACATGTTTTTTGGAGAATATATCGTGAAGTTTACCTCATTGTCTCATAATTGCTTTCATGAGATTTGTATGGACGATGAGTGTCAGTCAGATGAGTAGGGGAAGCACACAACTGCGTGTCAGACGAGATGCAGCCCACACCTCTCACCATTTAAGTACGATCCGGAGAGATACCGGAAGGTCTTGATGGAAAAAAATAGCATCAGACCGACTGCGCCCGATGCACCCTATATGCACTTTTCGTCCGGCCAGCGTAGCGTGAAGCCTGTAACTGTCTTCCGAACATCCTCGTCGCCCGGATCATTTTCAAACATAGCCTTGTCCATTTTCTCCTCGAGGAATTTCTCAACTATGAACCCTCTCTCTCGCGCAAGGTCGAAGAATGCGAGATCCTTGTGCTGCAGCCAGGGCCGGTAGCTTGTGAAGCAGACGAAGGCAGTGCTGGTTTTCTTCCGGCTCATAGTTGCTTCGATCGACGAGATCATGTTTCCGTGTTCAGAGTGTCTGAATAGTAGGTCGGCTAAGATAAGTATATCAAATTTGTCCCTCTTGACTGACTCCAAATGCGATAGTAGATGAGTCGCATCAGCTCCCCAGATATAGCCATCTGCAACTATTGGGGAGTTATCGACATCGCCATTTACTGTAGGTATAAGTTCACAACCTAAGATATTTTTCTTCATGTTGACGACCAGATCCGGATCGGCGTAATCGGTGACCACGACCTTTTCGGCCCCCAGGATAGCGCTCACTATGCTAGGTAGCCCGGCTCCGGCCCCGAGCTCGAGCACAGTCTGGCCTCGGACTTCCGATACATGGGACTCGAAATATTTAGATATAATGCGGCTGCCATTCCACAGATGGTGGGCTTCCAGGGGGCTATGGCCTACAAGATGAAGTGTGATGGTCTCCCCTGATTGTAGTGTATAAACCTGAAAAGTTGGAGGCGGTGATGGGGGATAATAGTCGTCTGGTTCTTCAAAGAACCCCGCGGTATCTGGTTCCATGGGGTTTGGTTGGTCGAATGAAAATAATATGAAATTTTGGCGGGTTGAAATTAAAATTTCCTCTTTTTTTTTTCTCATTGAAGAGTTCAGCTCCATTCACGGTACGAAGTACAAGTCTAAGGTACTTATGTACATTGGTACATAGGTACTTGATCTTCAAGTTCGCGATCTCACACAGTTAAAATAACAGTAAATAAACATATTGGCACTATGTACACTTTGTAGGTACACCCATAATTAGAATAGTAATCCCGTATATAGCCGTTGTAGTCTATCCATCACAGTGGTAAAGATATATAAGCTTCGCCACATGCTGTGCAATTATTCTGATTTAGACAAGGCCTTTGAGTTGAACCCTCCTTATTATCGGCAGACTTAATGAACCCGGGCTGAAGTGAATATGCACGATAGTGTCGTACTGGGCAAGGCAGAAATAATATATTTAGGTTAAGCAAGGCGAGATTGATAAGTATGGAAAGTTACAAGGTTGAAGGTAATAGATTGGGCATAGTCGAAGAGATAGCTCAAGCCAAGCCTCACTTAGAGGGCAATGCGACTTTACTAAGAGGAGAAAGGTTCTGTAGCTGTGTAGATGAGTAATGCGATCTTGGCGGTTAGCATCTAAGATCAAAGGAAAGTGAGGTCTTTGTATGATAACTCGGCAGTCTTCCGGATCAAGTACCGCGAATTAAAATATACTACTAGCACTCTTAATGAATTACAACTAATTCAGTAACGAATGAAGACCCCAGGATTTCTATAAGCGTTTCGGGGTTGGTACCGGTCCCCACAATGTAAGCAGTCAGCATACTGCAGATGGCACGATCTTAACCTGGAACATTCCCATCATACCCGGACCGACACATATATCCGTAATCCCGACTCCTCATTGAAGGTAGATGAGTAAGAGCACCGTGCTCGCCAAATCTCTCAGTACTATATTTCCTAGATGATTCAACTTTGAATCAGAAAAGCATCACAATTTCCTGGTTTTAATTTCGCATCAACACTATTACTTAGATCTCCTAAGTCCAACCTCATAGTATACCTGAATATACATCACGTGAGACTATTCCTAATACGACGTGATGCGTCCATCACAGATACTTCGAAGTGACGAGCTCCCTATCGGCAAATATGGCCAGTAAGTTGGGCAATATATCAACCTACTTTTTACCATCGACTACTCTACAATTTCTCAACGGAACCTGCCTTACTAACCAAAGTTCAACTTATACAGCTATCTAAACAAGGATACATGGGGACATCTTGGTACAGTTCAGCCCGTAGAATTAACCCAACTTACTTAGAGCCAAGTTAACCTGACCTAGGCTGTGTACAGCCCCAGAAAGGCATAGTCACATACACTCTTAGTTCAAACCGCCAGAACGTCCTTGCTGGTGCTGCCCACGATGCTGTGTTTAATACCTGGCGCCGATTTAGTAAGCAGGTTCTATACTGGGCACCGCCGCTACTGGCTGCCTACTATGCTATGGACTGGGCTATCAAGAGGTATGTCTTGAACGAAGGGTGTCCGTTTCAAATGCATAAAGTAACATGAGCTATAGAAACGAGTATCTTAATAGCAAAGCTGGAAGGGCTGAGTCTACCGACTAAATAAGATACCACTCCCTCAGTTGCAACTATCTTTTGCTTGTAACCACGAGGTAAATATTGTATGATAACTATTTTTCAACTCTTCTATCTATCATATACCTACGTCCGTATATGCTCGGTAGTGTCACAAGGAACTCTAACAGGTACCTAAGTAGTTCTATGTCTATATAGTTATACTAATCCTGTTCTTTGTTCTAGATGAAACATCTAGAATCCTGACAGGTAGCCTCTCTTAAGGGGTACAAGAAGGTGGAATATATGGTTCTATATGGTATATTTGTGGTTATTGGTTGAGACACTGAAGGCTATTATCCTCAGGGAATCCTTCCGGGTATTATTTTGGAAAGGGTATTCCATTCCGTTAAAGAAATTCCTACAGCGTATAAATGAACGGTTTTTGAAACAGTGATAATGTTGTCTTCAGAGAGAAAAGATAGGAACTACAGATAGTGATAACTACCCCTATTCAGTCAAGTATTATTATTTTCTCATGTCTTTTTTCCCCGTATTTACTTTATGTTCAACCACCGCCGTTAATAGTGGGATTAGCAAACAAGCTGTATGCTAAAATATCATTTTATTCACTTTCATTGGCGACTTAATGGGGGCTGTAGGAAAGCTGTTTAAATATTCGTTTCATTATTTAACATGTGCATCACGTACACCCTGATCGGAGTTACGTATTATGTACGAACTCTTTTGAAATATAAAGGTGTGCTTATCAAGCACCTATCCAAGATACCTGAGGTAAGCGTACAGATCATCCCTCGGTTATCATTACATGTAACATATGAAGCCCTAATGGCTGCATGAGGCTGGTGACAGCCGAGCCCAGCCAAATTCTTTTTGAAATTGAAATTGTGGCGTGTTCCACTCAACAACACGATATTTCTAAAACGTATATCAAGGCTAAGAAATAGCCTAAATTTTGTTTTCCTTTGTCCAAATCCATCCGTTGCCATTGTATCAGCAGTGCATAGAAGGTAAAATAATACAAAGTTATATGTTCGATGAATGTATGGGTTTGGAAGCTCAGTAGCACTGGCGCAACTCGTTCTAATTGGTTAGATTAAGTGATCTCTCTTTAGATGCCTTCTAAGATGATTATTTACCGGTGTAAGCCTTTCTGGAATATATATAAAATAATTATCATTCCTAAGCTTCTCAATGAGTTAGTCTCGGCACTAACAGTTGGTACTTCTTAAAAAGCTACCTTAACTTTGTAATGGCCGTTGAATTTCTCTTGCAATACTTTAATGAGATGCTCTGGATTCACTAGGAAACCAGGAATTCTAACTTCCTCCGAGCATGACGAATAGGCTTGTATTTTGAATGCGCCTTCGTGTCGTTCGCGAGTATTCTCTGATTTCGAAATCATGGGGGACGAAGAGGCGAGAGAGGACATTTCTCATTGGGCCTGGTGGCGACGAAGGATGAGTAAAATCGAGTCCTTGTAGATCAGGTCAATGGAGTTCAGTGAAGATGAATATCGTTTTAAGTGTTGGGGGATCCTACAGTTCAATATATATAGTGAGGCCAGGGGCGTTGTACCGGTGAAAATTAGATGCCGGTTATCGGGTCACTCTGAATGGTCCAGTGTAACCCTGGTGGAGCCGTAGATATCTTGAAGATAGGTAACTCATACTCATGGCTTACATATGGACAAATAGTGGTAATTGACTGCGGTGTTTCCAGTAGCTAAACATTTGCATCTAGGCTTCGGAGTCAACCTTACCTAGGTACCTATGGTAAAGCTAAGGCTACTTGTCTATATAACTATTGGTTTCCAAAAGTGAATCGTGATAAAGTTTTGGGAAGCCTTATTTATCATTGATTCTTGGACAAACTACTACGTGTATTCCTTGGTAGCGCCCACCAGAGGCGAGAAATTGATATTATACGCCAGATTCAGGGTTTTATTGCATTATGTTGTGTAACATAGCTGCGCTGTCACGGTGTCAAGCCCCGACGAAGACCGGTCAAGTTAGTAAGCTCAACGTGGTCTAATAATAAATCATTCTACCATGTGCAATGTATATGTAGGTACCTTTATGATATTATGCCACTATTATTTATGTATTAGGTTTTGTATTGGGTAATCGAGGAGTTCTACTTAAACTATCGTTTGGGCATAACATATAGGCGCATTGGCTTATGTTACTTAGGTAGGCTAACCTCACATATTTCTCACCTCAGCATTAAAGAGGAAATGATTTTTCAACTCCGTCAAGGTTGGAGTATCCTTGAGACATGGCGTAGGGTCGGGTACTTCGGCTAAAGTGCGCCTTACCACGTAAATTTTATTTGGTGTGTAGGATATCTATGGTGTGTAGGACAAATCGATATTCCCTCATTCTAAATCTTCGTGATTTACCACTTAACTTAAATGAGTTTTACTTTGAAAATGGTTATGCAAATAATATAATACCTTGGGTAGGTGATTATAATCTAAGTTATTTCTGCTCTACAAAGAAGGCAAATGATTATACAAGCAGCTATCTCTACTCTGCGTTTCTAAAGGCAAGTTAATCATTTCTCTAGATAATAAGAGTCTTATCTAGAGCCGTAACTCTCAGCTATTATTCCTCACCGAAAGAAATGTAACATGGGCCGCCGAAGATAAGGCCCAGGACGACGTAAGGCTGTGAAAAACATGAAGATTTGGAGGCTGAGGGCTTTGATATGCATAATGCAAACTGCAGAGAAGTTGCTGCCTACATACCTGCCTATATGTTTCTTGGATTATATGTATAATTTTAACTTCTTTTGGTTGCCTCCTTTCGACCTTCTTGTACATTTATAGGTATAAATATTGCGATAGGTCAGCGTCAAAGCTCATCCAATATTCATACCACCTAACCCCTCACTATCAACCTCAAATATTACTATTAGAATACTATAGACCATTAATAGATCATTTCCTTTCATACTTTCATACATTGGTTACCTGGAATCAGTACTGGTTATTGTTCACAGGAAGAGCAAGCAATTCTACATGCTAAATGTAAGCTAGTCATTTCATGAGGCTCAGCTTTCTCCTAGAATATCATTCTAACACTACATGAAAATGTAGATGGATCAATCACGGGGTGACCAATCCCCAAAAGATAATGCAAATACTCATTTACCATGCTGCGACCGCGGCGACAAGTTTCGACAAGATTGTCGGAAACACAATGCAAGTGCGGGCGAGTCAAACGGATTGAATACGCGTAGTAATGAGAAACTATATCAAGTCTTGCGGGCAAGCAAAATATCCTATAACAACAATAAAGATTCTTACTTTATACCTTTCGACAGGCTAGTGTTGGCCAGGGACAAATGTCTTGTTGAACAAGCTCTTCGAGAAGATGGTGTTTCTCAAGACGAAACCTCGAAATGGGTGGATAAAATCTGTAAAGATCAACCCGAAGGAAGCGAGAGTTCCTTCTTTCGGATATTTGTTATCCTGGTACTGTGCGAGAATGCCAGATGCATCGGCAAGTTTATCGACAAGCATATTGACGATTCTTACCTCCCTTTACCAACGGTAGAGCGAAATGAAAATGGGATAACAATTCTACGAGAAAACAATGGCCGCCAAATCAGCGAGGAGACGTTGAAATGCCTCTTCAAAGACCGGAAACTGTGGAAGCAAGGAACCCTAGATAATTTCGCTGACTATCAATGGTGGGCTATAGCCCCTTTCTTTTACCGGCCGGATGAAATTATCCCCCACTACGTCCTAGAAGCCTCGGACATCTTGCCATTCACTGAAAAAAAGAATCATATAGAGGCTGAGGTGGAATCACTAGACCCAGATGTCAAAGAGGTCTATTTACAAGGAGGATTTGGTGATGTTTTCATAGTGAAACTACATCCGTCGCATTACTACTTTAGCAACCAGCATGTAGGTTTTCCATGACCCGACTCTTGCAATTTATAAACTAAAACATGAGAAAGTATAGCGACGGTTCACATTCATTCGCTCTTAAGCGCCTGAAATCGCTAAATGTTAATGATTTCAAATTGGAAGTCAATGCACTTAGTAAATACAACTACGGCATTGACGAACACCTAATTCCACTACTGGCTACGATTGAAAAAGAGGGTGAAGCGGGAAAATATTACCTACTGTTCCCAAAGGCCAATGGTGATCTTAGGTATTTCTGGAAAACTGAGTTCAACCAGAATTCTGACGAACTATCCATAGTACGCTGGATGGCTGAACAGTGTCTTGGAATTGCGAATGCACTTTCAATACTACATAGAGACCAAGACACTGATAAGGGGGATGATCATCCCATATACGGACGCCATGGTGACATAAAAGCCGGGAATATTCTTTGGTTTTCTAAGCCGAATACCTCAGGTCCTTCAGGATGGCGGTTAGTTCTCTCCGACTTTGGGTTGGTGAGATTCCATCATGCTATATCGATTTCAGCCGAGACCGCGAGCAAAATTAATAAAACCTTGACTTATCAAGCCCCGGAGTTTGATATTGCAGGCGCAAAGATATCCAGGAAATCCGATATATGGGCTCTCGGATGCACATACTTGGAGTTTATTACTTGCTACCTTTCGGGGTATAAGGCTGTGGAAGAGGAATTCCCGAGTTTGCGAGGAGAAGAGAATAGGACTCATCGTCGAGGGATTAATGAAGACACATTTTACCGAGCAACTGCCGATGGAAAGTCGGCTGAACTGAAGCCTGGCGTTCGGAACTGGATTCTCGACCTTCGCAATAACCCAAAATGCACTCAGTACTTCAACGACTTTCTTGACCTGATTGAGCATGATATGTTACGTATCAAGCGGGAAGATCGTCTGCCAGCAGCTGAGGTTGCTAAGCGCTTAGAGAGCTTCCTCGAAAAGTGTCAAGAGGTTGATTATATGACCGAGAAGCATGCCTCGCGAGCAGGGGGTTCGACAAGTCAAGTCAAGCAAAATGGCTGTACAGACTTAATTGTCTACAAATCAGGTTAGGCATGTTGAATATTGAGTATTCTCTGCTCCTATCC